ACTTTGTATTTTCTGAGAGTATTTACAGTGCAGGTTAGACCAACTATCAAAGAGTACAGGGAATGGAAAAAAGAGGAAGAAATAGATTGACAGGCTCATAATAAAGTTAGCATAGATTGGCAAAACAATCTGGAGTTTTTTTTCCATCATATTACACAATTTTCCTCAGCACATGGAAGGTTCATTCTTAAGCTTGGAAACAGCACATGATAAACTACCTCACCACAAGGTTTATTTAGTAGCTGTTCTGGAGCTTTCAACTTTTGACCAAACATGGATGAGAAGTCCTTAAAGTGCTCTGAGAAACAGAAATTTGCAATTACATGACAACTGGGCAAACTCCGTCCTCTGCGGAAGATAATGCGATATGAGCAAAAGCTCCAGAACAACTACTAAATGCACACTGTTTTCAGGATCAAGAATAAACTTGAAGTCTCAGAGTGAACATTTGCATTTCGGGAGTGATTTCTACCATGCAGGTCTTCTGCTGAGCGAGTACGACGTTGACCCTGACTGTACCCTGCTTTTGGAATGTGTGTGGAGGACGTCCACAGAAAATGAACTCTAATTTTGAGAAGCGAGCAACCCGTTGATGGAGCGTGGCCATACTCCACCAGTGCGCAGACAGACGAGCGCTCTGCACAGTGCCTGGTTTGTTTTCTGAGGGCAGCTGGTGGAAACGTGTCCAGAGGTCCCTGGCTGGGAGAGGCAGGATGCCCAGGCTTTCTGAGAAGCAGCCTGGCTCTCTGCTATGTATTTTCTGTCCTCCACTTCCTCTCCCAGGGGCATCAGAGACGCACTCTCCCCTCAGACTTCTTGACCTTCAGTTCTGCTCCCATTCAGGAATTTGCCGAGCCTCTGAAGCACTGCCAGAATAGACTCTGAGCTGAGAACTGCTTTAGATCATATCCTAATGAGAATCAAATGCTGGTAAAATTGCATATTGTTTCATATTCAGCTTTCTTTCCACGTCTTATCCTTCATCCATCATGAATCAGCATGCCAAGACCTGTGCTTTAAATGTAGCATACATACAATATCATCTGGCGTCGTCGGCCTGTGAGGTGTGGAGGGATTTTCCCCTAAACACAGACAGACCGAGTCTTCCCGTGTCCTCTCTAAGTTAAGTTCCCGTCACCGTTGGACAGAGAATCATGTACTTTACAGTATTTTCAGAAGATCCTTTTAGCATGAGGAAGCAAAATGTGTGGCTGGAAAACAAGCAGCACAAGCCATTGTAATGGCCCTGTGGCGTGTTTGTGCGATATGGTCACAGTCTTCTGGTTATGAGGTGGATTCTAGTTTGCTGAGGTCATGGTTGGCATAATCAAAAGATTATATAAGAATGCTTCCTTCACAGAGTCTCTGGCCTGTCAACAAATGCTCAGAAAAGCCTATAAGATTAGACTGGAAAAACAAAAAAAACCCCCACTGTGAGAATAAGCCAGAGTAACCAGGGCCGTCATGTGTTTTACCTCCAGAGTTCCACATTTTGAACAAGCTGACAGCGCCGTACAGTATGTTACTGCTGTAGGCATCAGGACTATTTAATGTGTTTGTTTCTTTAACTTTTTAAAATCTGATACATCCCCTTTACACCCTGGTGTGTTTGAGGGTCAGAGACCATCTTGACTACATTGTGAAAAATCAGAACAATCACATTTCTAATGGCCCAGAAGCCCAGAATATTACTTTTACTTCCACATAGCAAGTGGAAGGCTACGCCATGTGGCAAGCTGCCAACTGGGCGTATGTGTGAAACCTGTTAGTCTCCACATTTAAAATAGTCCACTTGAATGTCATTGTGTGCACCACTGGGCGGTATTATCAATAGCATTTTGAAGCCTGTTCACTTCCAAGAGGATGGTATTGTGTGGACAATAGAAATATCTTAATGCTGTATGGTGTTGCATTTACAGCATCACTTGAGGCGACAGTAGCAGCAACTGTTTCCCAGACACTGAGGGATGCTATTTTGTCACTGAGTTGTACTGAGGCGTTTGGAAGCTTCTGACTGAGCCTTGTTAAGGCTGTATTCGAATCTTGACTATTCTAACCTTGGTTGGTAGCATTTGTGCCAAAGGTAAATGAGTGGCCTGGCTCGCATTTTATTTTATTTTATTTTTTCCCCCCAGAATTTGTTCTGGCCTGGAAAACATATTTTGTATTGTACTGGATCAAAAGTCCTCTTAAGCACAGTTTCACTTGTGTCCTCATGAACTGGAAACGTGCCCTTTGGGTAAGTGGTGGATGGCTCTTGAAGTAGTACAGTAACAGTTCACTGAGATTTAGACCTTAAAAATGACAAAATGTCACACAGACAGGAGGCACATGGCTACAGTAAGAGGTTCTGCTTTGGCACAGAGTGGGAATATAGTAATAGCTCTCTCTGCAGAGTTAGACGACAGGTTTGGGTTGTTTTAGGTCAGTCTTAATGCTTTCCCAATGGTTTTATATACATTGAGACTAACTGATCACTGTAATTTCCACTGCCCATACAATCCATAGTCCTTGTTTTGTGTGAAATTTCGGCTGAAAGCTTCTTTCATTTTTGTATTAATTATCTCTCTACAATGACAAACATTTAGCTTCCATTTGGCATAGTGCCTCTAGCCTCCTGGTGAGTGTACTCTAAGCCTATTGTTCACTCTTCTTTTAGATCTGTTTTGGCTTCCACTGACTTTATACACCAGCCAGATGCTATTTATTTCTGTTGCTGCATGCTGGGCTGATGGTGTACAACGAGTTTTGTGAGCTTGCTGAAAACAGCTGGCTGCTTTGGCTGTAAACAGTGTTGATGCATTCAGTGGGAGTGAACCAAAACAGTAAAATTGTCAGCTGTAAAGCCAAAACAAAGAGCGCTCCATGGAACTGTAGAGAACTGCAGTGTTGTGTAATAGTTCTTTGTGGGTTGTTTTTACTACAAGAGACTCCTTTTTAGATTGCACATAGTCACTTGAGCCATTGTCCACATGAAAGCACTGGCTAAAGATGGTGTTTAAGTGAAGGAGTGAAGTAGTTTTAGAAATTAAGTCACGCGCCATTGGAGAAAACTAGGAGACTTGTCTGCCTAAGCTACCAGCAGTCACAGACCCTTATCCAGCCAATCCATCTCTCAGGGTTGTCACTGAAGGAGGATGACGTAAGACTGACCATAAATCACATGATCCCACCTGTCTGACCTTCAGGCCCCTTCATTACAACCCTTTCAACTTGCACTAGCAGAGACAGAGTTGATGTCAGCTGCCTACTGTTGTATTCATAGGGCTTTTACTGTTCATGCCTCCTCATCAGGGTTCAGTAGGGTCATTATACAGGGTTAGCCTGTATAATAGCCCTGGGTTTCTTGTCTGGCTCCTCATGTAAACACTTATCTCACCCCATCTCCTCTGGTATACAGAGTTCACTCAGCTTGTGTTGGTTTAAACCCTGCGAGAGCCTCAAGGACAGAGTCATTATTTGTTAATATGTCCTCATGCTCGTGGTCATTTATTAACCAAGCACTCAGCTGTCGTCCCCTCAGGCTGTGATGCTCAGTGAAGAGGGGGTGGGTCATTTCAAGTGTCATCTGGGTCTCCACTATTTTAACACATTTTGCTGCGTGAGAAGAATTAGTCTAAGAGGACACACAGTGTGGTGTGAATTTGTTGTCATTTGTTTGCGCCCTACTTGGCCCGGTGGACTAGTAAGACTGCTGCAGATTTATGGCTTGATGACAGATAAACCCATCGAGAGAACGTGTCAGGATTTTGATATTTGACCCTTTAAGTGTTCATTTCCACTACTTGTAATTCATAAGGCTAACTAATGAGTTGGATTACGTTGCTATTGTTAAACATGCATTTAAAACCTAATTTTGGAAGAGCTCAGGCATACTTAGCTCACATGTGGGCTTGTTTCTAAAACTGGCAGCCAGTCATATAAAAGCTGTCCAGAAATATTAGCCTGTTGAGTCGTGTAACTAGAGTGTGAAATAAAGGCCATCTGTGACAAAATGTATTATACAAAGTGCTTGCAGAGCCAGCTAGTGTTATCCTCTTAGTATATCTGATCTGGGACCTGTCCCAAAACTGAGTAGTAATCACTGACCACACAGGCAGGAAAAAAAAAAACAACCCCTGAGTGCCCAGTACTAAATTGTTAATCACTAGTAAATGAATGATCATCATTCTCTGTGCTGTACAGTCTCTCAGTTGTAAAATAAGTTGAGGTTTTTTTAACCGTCAACGTGGGATGCCTAACAGCTTCATTCACTTAATGACTGTTTTGCACTCAGCAGGTAAAGGGAGATTTTGGAGACCCCGGTTTATTCTAAGTCTAGACTGACAGTTTGTGTGGAAAATGACTTCATTGCCCACTTTTTTCCATTTTTAGGTGAATTCCAATTCCCTTATTTTATCGTTTCTTGGTCCTCGATCCTCACTAGACTTGGAAGTCACTCTAGTTCGCCGTGATGAAGGATGTCCCATGGCTCTTATTTCTACCCCGAGGAGCGAGGAGGTTGCCTGGAGGAGCTATAACTGAGGAAACATGAGTGCATACTTTGGAAGTCTGTTATGGATTGACACGCCCCTTTTATTGGAAATCAGTTTGTGATTGGACGCTTCACATTAGGGATCGGGGGAAAGGGCGTCTCATGTCAGTTAAAACATGTTTCCTTGGTTCCTCCTCTCTCCACGCTGTTTGTCCTTGCATCTTTTCCTTGTATTTTTACATGAGCGAGACTAAGACTCAATGAAAAGACAAGTGAGGAAAGCGCGAATGCAATTAGTGGAATTGGAATTCACCTTTTGATTTAGTGTGGTGTCCTTTTAATCAAATTGCTTTGCAGTACCATGTGTCCATTTCTTTGCTTTATCACAATGATTATTAAAGGTTTATCAGAGCTGATTCTTCTAAGACCTGTTTAGCAGAGTGACAGCTGGTGCTGGTTTTGGTGTGATACTTTTTTCACATCTCCTAACCTCAAACTTCCCCTTTGTGCACCTTCCTAGACGGCGACTCATTTCTCAGCGCTCATCGCTTGAAACCCTAGAGGACATAGAGGAAAATGCTCCTCTGCGCAGGTAATTAACTGCACAGCAACACCAGTCACATTGTCTACTGCTATATATACTGTGTCTAAACTGAGACATTCAGCTCAGCTCAGTTTCCTTCTGGCACCATTTCTCTGTTTGTTTGACGTGTTTGTGTTTATTATATTTTAGATGCCGAACCCTGTCGGGTTCACCACGACCAAGGAGCTTCAAAAAGGTCCACTTCATAAAGAACATGAAGCAACATGATATGTGCAATGGAAGGTATGAAGGCAAACAATGCCATCTCTTAGTCATTACCAGTCCTCAGTGGATAGTGGCAGGCTGCCCCAGTCAATGAAATGCAGTTTGGATGTTTCTCACATTACAAGTCACATCATAGGCGAACTGGCCTGGCCAAGTCGCAGCGTGTTGTTCCGACTTATAAATGACATGTAATTGATTGAGAACAGATTTAGTTTTATCCTTTATTTGATCACTATTGAAATCAGGCTATAAAACTACTTTCTACTTTGGCTACTCAAGGCTAAATCACACATCACTGTGTCACAGCTCATGCTGTACAAGCATGTGCACAGCACACAGGCCACTTTTATACCTATGTTTTACTGGGTGTGCACAAACAAACCAGAGGAGAGACGATTGTTTTAATGTAGGCCAGGAAACCACTATCATCACTATCACTTGTCACATTTTTTTTTTTTTGACAGTTAGCATTTCCTCCATGTAGATGCTTTTCGCAGTCTTAAGTTCCATTGTCAAACATTTAGTTGATGTGAAGAAGCAGATCTAGAGTTTACATCTTGTTTACCAAACGTGTACTGTGTACTGTCCTCGTAAGTTCCACGTGTCAAATTAAGTCAGGGCAGGTAAAGCTGTTTGTCTTCCTGCCCAGAGCCACATCCGATGTGGAGTAATAGTGAGCCAGATGTTCCACACCATTAAGAACTGCTTGTTGGTTAACCGATGCTGAACCAATTGGCATTTCGTGACGCGCGTGTTGTTTATAGCCGGATGGTGATTTTGGCTGAGTAGTAAAAAAAAATTCCTCGTGTGTCAGTGAGTTGCTTCTTTCAAACTAAGATGGTTTGAGGCTGATCACTGTGGCCTCTGTGCTGTCGCAGCTGGTCAGTGGCAAACATGTCTGACTGAATGCTTGTTGCCTGCTTACATAAATACAAGATACGTTTTTAAAATGTTTAGCTTTTAAAATAAGATATTGTAACAAAAATGCTTCATTGTTGCTCCCAAACCACTGAATGCATACACTCCAGTACTATAGAACAGCACACACTCAGTTCATTGCCTTCCTTTTAGGTTTTAACTGTACATTTATCTCCAACGTTACCCTGTGGATCTTGTCCAGTAGATATTGATTAGCTTGTTTACCATTTTTGTTTTTATAGGATAGTCCTTGTCAGTGGCAGAAGATCCTTCTATAGTGTTTTTTCTGTCCTGCCCTATCGAGATTGTAGCCAAACAGGGTATGTATCCTACAGCATGCTGAACCTTGTAAAGTTCTCCAGCCTCTGCTCCCTCATTTCCTTTGTTTTCTCATCCTTCCTTCTCTGTCTATGTACTCTCCTTTGAATGGTGAAATAGGCTTTTAAGGCTCATTTTAGCGTATATACCAAAACTACACCTGAGAATACAATGCACAGAAATAAAAGCTCCACACTGTGGCTTAGTAAAGAGCATAAAAGGCTCAATCCATCTGTGGAGTTTCCTGAGCCAGCCAATCAGCACAAGGGCAGGGGTTAATAAAGCCCCAGGGCTATCAATTATGTACATTTGACTGCTAATTGCTACTAAATTATAGTTGGCTGGCTCATTCAGGTGTTATAACTGCAAAGGAACATTTTATTAGATGCCTGGGCCCAAATGGCTGATTGCATGTAGTCTTTCCTCTTTTTGTCTTCCTCTGACTCTATTTGTGTGCATGCTCTAACTACTGAACAAAAATAACCAGACTTTGTATAGAATACTCATATGTTCCAAACAACTAATACCTGTTTTTGGCAAAAGTTAGATGTGAAGATTGATACCAGTTTTGTAAATGTCTTTTAAGCTTGGCATAAAGACTGGAACAAGGGGAAATAGCTAGCTGGCTCTATCCAAGGTAAAAAAAAAAACAACAAAACAAATCAGCCTAGCAGCACCTGTAAAGCTCAAAGTGGAAAGAAGAGTTTGGGGTTTAATAGAGGGTATATATGAGTGACTTTTTTGGGTGCTTTCACAGCGACGAGTCTCGTGTATAAATCTATGGTTTTGTACGTAAGGCCCCATAGAATGACATCTTTACTTTTACTCTTTGGATTTGTGGACTGATGTGTTAGACAGCGCTATCCACCACCATCATCACAATACCAAATGAGGGAATATCTTTTGGAAGAACGGCGCTCATCCCTCCGCTAGAGTTCCAGAGAATCACTGCCTCTTCAGGTGCATTGAAGCTGTCGGTGACGCATGATGGCCCAAGAAAAACCAACATAAAATGTCTTAGTAAGGCTACTAAGGAACTTTATGTTGTTGTTGTTTTCTTTAATTTGTCACCCATTTTTATCCTACCAGTCTGCAGGTAGTACCTTCTTATTCAGTGTACCAATGTGATGTACTAGGTGGTCTTAGGTTCAAACCCCTGTAGGGTCAGCTTTAGCTTCGCTGTGTGCATGATCCACCTGTAATGACGTAGGTTTCCTTGGCACACTTCAGTTTCTCAGGCAGGCATATTTTCTAATGGTCCTGGCACTGGAGTGTAGCTGAAGTTGGCTCCTGGGGTGAAGACTTAGATGGATTAATAAAGTATTACTTAGTGATGCTTATCAGGTTAGAGTAATGAGCAAGGCTTGGGCAAGAAGTATTGTTATAAGCCAGTCACAAAACCGTTTCTGTGAGCTGTGAAGTATTTGGTGGTACAGTAGCCAGCAGGGGTCAAGATTCTTTTGGTCATGTTAATATTTATTCTGTGTTAATCTGATGCTAGATTTAGAAGCATTTGGCAGGGCATGATGAGCACTTTGCATAGGTTATGACAATACTAATAGAGATGTTTGAAACCAATGGGTCTTGTTCCTGCATGTCAGCTTTTCTTATGATTTCCTTTATTTTTTCAACAGACCGAAGCAAATCATTTTCTTGAATTGCTTTGTAGTAAAGCTTTCTCCCTTGAATACTTTCTCTTATGTTGCCTCCTTTTTATTTAACCTCCACTGTTCTATGAGATGTCTGCTGCCTGGGGATCCGTCAACATTGTGTCTTGACATGCCTGTTTGCCAGATAACACTGTTTTCATTGTAACAGTTTGGCTCCACATCACCAAAACACTGGGAGAGCCATGTGACAGCCGGCTGTGTCATTTCTTCTATTTATCTAGGCACCGTTTTAAAGAGAAACCAAGACTGAGCTAGGGAAGATAAGCAAAGAGTAGAAAAACAAGGCAGGGCTCCGAGTTAATGCCTGCTGTCATTCGGAGCTAAAATAAGCCTGAAGTTATTCTTACACAAACACAAGTGGACAAATGAACATCTGTGTGTTCTTGCTTTGATATGAAAGTCCCAAGTAACGGCTTGTTACTGCTATCCATTCTGTTTTCAGTATGGAAATACAAATAGCACATTTTTATTTTCCAGCAACCTTTGAATAGCAGATCTAAAGTTTCTCATAAGTATTAGTCTTCAGCTTGCCATTACCTCTTTGCTATCACTTATTCAGTATGTTAGGTTGTGAATAAAGTGGGCTACAGGCATGTCATCTTCTGTGTCGGTGCACACCCTATTTACTGTGTTTACCTTTATTAGCAGTGACCTAAAATCATCACGATGATGATGATGCATAGAATAACTGCTGTTTGCTTTAATCACTATATTTTACTGTTTAGATTAGTGTGATGATTGACATTGTGGTCTTATCCTCGTATCCAAATGTTAAAATGCTAATTAAATATGATTTTCTGGGCACATCATTTAATTTTACACGCGATTGCCTCCATCTGCTGTATGTTCTCAGCAGTAGACATTAACAATAGAAATATTTGGCCCATATAAAATACTGTATGTTCAGTCAAGAGCGCTCCGGTGTTTGCCCCGCTGACGTCTGTGTTGTATGTCAGCAGACCATCTGACCTCTTGCACACGCACAGACAGCAGTATGACATTTTAGGCTTTGGTGAGGCAACAGCTGAATTTGAATACACTGGCCTGCTAGAATGAAACAATATTATCCTCTAACCTTCCTCTGAAAGGTGCATTTTATTTCTCATTGCCCTGAGGTGCACCCAAAGACAAAGGCAATTACAAAAACTAGGCCAGCACAGATCGGTCTGTAGCTTGTATCTGTGAGGTAGAGGTGAGCTAGAACAGGTCTCAGCAAGGAGGGTATTGAACAAGATGTGGTATTATTTATTTTCTGAAAGCTCTAAAGGACTTGTGCTCATCATCAGGGATGTAAAGCTGGAAGGAGGGCGTCAGCGGCACCCGTCAGGAGGCGTCAGTGCCAAGGAGATGGTGATTGGGCTGGAGGGAGTGGAGTTGGGAGCAGACGGAAAGGTGTGTGTGTGGAATGGGAACCTCCTCAACTTTGACTGAGGCTATATAAACCTAGTTGCTAAGTGCTACAAAAGTTAAACAAATAAATAATAAACTTAAGTAAATTAAGAAGTTAAACTGAAGACTTGTTTTTTGTACATAGGGTGCAGAAAGGCAATTCCCAATCATTTGAACCAGGCAGTAAACCTTATTCCAAGCGGTATTTTGACATGTCATAGCAGGAAAGGCCTGGATGTAATTAAACACATAATGAACAACGGCATTCCATTTATGCAAGTGAGTTCCAGACTCCTGGTAATGTGCATGCTGGGTCACTGGTATGCAGAGGTTAAACTGGGATTTGTGAGAAGGGTGAGCCCCTGTACAATAAGTATGGGGGTGGAACATAGTTTATGTTGGTGAAATTTCAGAGATTGGTATCTCAAATTGAAGCTGTCTAAACAGTCAGATACAACTAGGGAGAAGCCTGAAGTTTAAACAAAATCTACTTCCTATCTATTGCCTTATATTTTATTTACAAAAGTGAGTAGGTTAAGTTCAGTGCTTCCATTATATTTAAGCTGCAACGCTGAGCTCCACCAGGGGGCCATTTGGATATCGGGAAGCGGAGCTCTTAGCACTTAATGAGACTGAGTCACCGTTAATGTTATTGTTACCATCTGTGCTTTTCCTGCTGTGAAACATATTCATTAATCTAACTGGCTGAACAGATGTAATACTTTTTAGGCTTTTGTGAACCAGACGTGACTGTATATACCTGTGTTTGCAGACTGTGTCCTACACACAGTTCCTGTATCCCACTAACGTGCTGGGTGGTCGAAGAAACACCATCGACTCCACCTCGTCCTTCTCTCAGTGTCGTAACGCCAGCCACCGCAGCCTCAGTTTGGGTCGAGCCAACAGCAACCAGAGCAGCCTAGACACAGGTCGGTCAGTTGTCGGCAAATACTTATTCAGTATGAGTGTTGTGTGTAGTAGTAGAAGCAGATGTTAACTTCTGGCTCAACCCCTGTTGTTTGTTGTGCTCATGGAAGGGAATGATTTCGGGGACTTCCGGGAGTACGACCCTAATCTGTTGGATGACCCGCAGTGGCCTTGTGGAAAACACAAGAGAGTCCTCATCTTCCCCTCCTACATGGTGAGAAAGTTCTCTAGCTGCATCTTACACACCACCAGCACCAGTAACAACAACAACAATTGCAGGCTTGTCCTCCTGAGAGCAAAATGGAAAGGTTGTTTTCATCCAGGACATAATTCACTGAAATGGATCCACTTCTGTTTTCACAAATTGTTGGAATGTGCTGCAATAGCTCACTGTTACTGCTTTTTAGTGGTTGTTTTTAGTGGGGGACTGTGGTTCAGTGGGTAGAACAGTCGTCTCCCACCCAGAGGGTCAGAGGTTTGAATCTCGATGCCTGCAGTCCACATGTCAAAGTGTCCTTGGGTCAGACACTGAGCCCCCAAGTTGCCCCCGATGGTTGGAGCCATCGGTGTGAGTTGGCACCACAGATGCCTTGGTTCTGTACCAGAAACAAATTCCTTGTGTGTAACATACTTGGCCAATAAAGGTGATTATCTTTATTATTATGAAGCTTTTGTGCTCAGTTTTCTCACAACCAAGAACAATAGCTCACCGGAAATATTTGTCTGCCTCAAAAGTTTCTTTCTATAAAATGCTCCTGAATTTTATCAGCTGTTTTTGGAAGGGAGCCAGGAGGAGGTTTCAGACTTGTTTTAATCAGCAAGGTTGCTGGCCTTGACTCTCTTCAACCTTCTGGGGCCTGAATGAATACACATACTTTATCCTCATGCAGTGGGCAGTAGCTGTTCAACACCCACTTCACTAGTGCAACAGCCAACATAGTGTTTATGTCTCAGCGCTAATCGCTCTCTCACATTCCGGAAAAGAGCGGATGTTTTATTGTGGTTGGGGAAAAAAAAAAAGTTTAAACTGACTAGACTCCCACCTCATTCTTTCCTGGGCTCTGTTTTTGTTACAGAGACTGGCAGAATACACAACAAGGACTGACATACTTGAAATTTTAGGTCAAGGCAGCCAATGCTTCCTCCAATTACAAAATCCAGCATTTCCAACAATGGCTATTGTGTTTACTACAGAAATGGAACCAGTAAATTCTCTAAAGTTTGGGGGTTGATCACAGGCCGTTTAGAAGATGCATCTCTAACTGAACTTTGAAGTTCAAGCTGGGCATAATATTATCCATTTTAGTCCTGGAATGCAATTGAGGAAACTTGTTTGAACTAGATTATTAAGTAAGGAAAATAAACCCCAGAACTAGAAATGTTCTTTGTTGTACAGGGATCTTATTCAAGCCCAAACTCTCAGGCCCTCACTAGACTGTCCTAAAGCAATTCACCCACCTGGTACTCAAAGCATGCTGTTACAAGCACACTGAATTGTTTAAAAGTAGTCTGATGAAGGTGTGGAAAGCTTGGTTAGTAATCAAATATATTTTAGATCTTCTAGGCCTTCTTTTGTTTTATATTGTTTTCTTTTTCATTGTCCGTTAATCTCATAAAAAGATCAAAACCTACAATGTGTTTAACCATCTCTCAGTATTTCTGGAATCCCTTCCTTGGCTGTGGCATTCATGCCCAAGCACTGCACATTTTTTAAGAACAGGTCAAAAATTGGTTCATTAATTAGCTGAAACAGCTCGGCACTGTAGTTTAAAAAAAAAATCAGAATCAGCTTTATTGGCCAGGTGTGTTGGGGACACGAGGAATTTGACTCTGGTGCAGCAAAAATGACTCCAACAGTTCATTCTTTTGCAGTGAATTCTTCCAGAATTGATGCACTTGTGATCAGTTTCCATGTAAAATTTAATGAAGGATGTGTTTTTAATAGTTTTCGGACAGCTATGAAGCTCTCTTGCTGGAGGAATAAGCTAGATCAGGTTTGGATAGAAGGACATTTTTGTTAATAGGATCAGTTGAGTGTTGTTTCTGGTCTTGTCACGGGATTCGTTGAGAGAAAAATGCAGATTATCTCCAGACTTATCCTCCAAGTGACATGAGTAATACCGGCACTCACTAATCTTCATTGTGAGATGGTGGAATCCAACACTAATATGTAAGGATCCATTCACCATGCTTGGTGCTGAAAGTGTGGTCACTGTGACACCACCTCTGGTTTAACTTTTCAGACTACAGTCATTGAATACGTCAAACCCTCGGACCTCAAGAAGGACATGAACGAAACCTTCAAGGAGAAATTTCCCCACATAAGGCTCACCCTCAGCAAGATAAGGAGGTAAACCGACAGAAATGTATCAAATGTGTCATTTATTTAATGATCAAGATGATTTTATCTTTAACATGATGTTTAGAAGTTTACCTTCCTTATTCTTTTCTTTTTCCACTCCTGCAGCCTGAAAAGGGAGATAAGAAAGCTGGCCCAGGATGAATGTGGTTACGAGGAACCAACAGTGGCCATGGCGTTTGTCTACTTTGAAAAACTCGTTCTTCAAGGCAAACTAAACAAACAGAATCGTAAACTCTGTGCCGGAGCTTGTGTCCTCCTAGCAGCCAAGATCGGCGGTGATCTCAAGAAACATGAGGTTAAGCACCTGATAGATGTAAGCTTCCTCTTGCACACCTCCAAAACTCAAAACATTGTGGCCTGATGGTGTTTTAATGAAGATTTGTATCCTGTTACATGAGATTAAAGGTTTACTTCACTCAGATCAAAGACAAGTTAATAACAACTGTTCACAGTGAAGTCTCTGGATTATTCTGGGTAACTCATAGTTTTAAGGGGGAGAAAAATGGCCAGGGGTGTCTGCAGATGACTCAGCAGCACATAAATCAAGACCTGGGCAGGTAAAACCAGATGAATTTATGTGGCAAGCCACAACTGGGGCTAAATGAGAGCATGTGGGTTTTTATGATCCAGGTAAACAGGCCATTTAAGTCTCATGTCTGAACTGGCATGTATAAGATGTTGCTCTGTGATCTTAAAAAAAAGATAGGAGAGCAACGAAGAGTGTTGCAGTCACAGTCAGATATTAAGAGTAAAAACAGGACATGAAGTTGCTGGTCAAGTTGTTTACAAATCCCATAAATGGCAGGCAGTATTTTTTTTTTTTTTTTTGACAAGGGCCTCACAGGCTCTGGCATTTCAGCTGTCTGTCATCATTGCTGAAATCAAACTTCATGAAAGCATGATACAAACTGATTGACTCAGCCCTTTAACATTGGGAGACTTGAAGCTACGTTCACATTACAGGCCTTAATGCTGTTTGTCAGATCTGATGCTGATTCATGTATGACATGTATCAGCAGTGATTTGGACACTACTGAGGCCGTTTAGGGCCTCGGCAGTGCAGATTTAAGTGAAGTTTGAAGTATGTGTGATGGTCAAATTGCACAGTTCCCTTAAAAACTGCTCAGTTACAACATGTTCCTTCCAGTTTGCCTTGAAGAGAAGCTTCTCCATAAATGCCCAACTAAACTGGATCGTCCTTGTCTCTCCACTGATCCCCCGTTGCTGGTGTAGCTTTCCTCTGTTTATTTTACTGGTCTATGAGGGGCCGACACTGCATGATGACAACAGGCAATATGCGCATGTGCAGAGGAGTGAGACTATGTAAACAATATGAATTCCCAGGTGACTGTTCTGACAGAGGCTGCATGGTGAGACATTGGCTGTGCATCAGATGAAGGATCACATATGGAAGTGTCCCAGATCTGGTTTAAAAAAAAAACTCCAATTTGGTTTGTTCACACATGTGTGAAATGATCACATCTGAGTTACTTGGAGGGCAAAAAAAATCAGATTCCAGTGACTTGGGCAGGTAATGTCAACGTGGCTTCAAAGATGAACTTAAAACCAGATTGAAAAGCAATGTTTTACTGTCCTTGCTGATTGAAAGTTTGAAGTTAGATTCCTCTCTGACCACACCCTCAGTCACTGTTGAACGCGGCTGGACGTGGTACACTTTTGTTGCACCTGTAACCATGCCTGATGTCACAGGCTGACATATACTGTAGGTGAGAAACACAGTATGTCAGAAGAAATAAGATTTTAATGGGCTTGTAAAATTCCTGTAATGTAGCTCTGTCTTCTTGACTAGACTCTGCTTAGTACTTCTAAAGAGTAATGTGTAATGTTGTGGAGTTGCTAATTTCCTACTTTAACTTTGCAACATAGTTACGTTGGCAACTGGATAAATCAAACTTAGTTTACTCTTAGTAAAACTGACAGTTTACCTTTGCTAATATTTTATTGTTGGCTTGTAAACAGGCTTCATTTGTACAAGAAAAGTAAAAGTCTGCTTTGAGGTTGAGAAGGTCCAACCCTAATGAGATGCTTGCTAAAAATAAGTGGGGTGCGGTTATGATTCATTGAGGAGCAATTAGAAATACAGCATTGTATGTAATATAACTAATGCATAACTCTTCATTTACTTTCTGGCAGAAATTGGAGGAGAAGTTCAGAGTAAACCGCAGAGAGCTGATAGCCTTCGAATTCCCTGTCCTGGTGGCTTTGGAGTTCAACCTGCACCTGCCAGAACACGAGATCATGCCCCACTACAGACGCCTGCTGCAAACCTCCTACCATTCGTGATCCATCAGGAGGAGGACCACAAGGTTCTCCTCCTGATCCTCTGCTTTCCGTGGTCTCCGTTCTCCCTGCCCTCTTCTCGTCTCTTACACCTTCAAGGTACCGTCACTCAATTTCAGGCAATCATCATTATCAACAACACTGCCGTTCATCTCAAAGACCTGAAGTCAGCCAAAGGGACACGTTTTTAAACCAACTTTATTCCATTTTTTCACTTCTGTATTCATCTTCACTACATGGACTGAAAAAAAAAGTTTTAACGTCTGCCAACAAGCTTTTCTAGTTTGGATCTTTCAGCATTTCATCTTTGGATATTTTAGACTCTCTTGTTGATTAAGAGAGGGGTTTTTTCTGTTTTGAAGCAGATGGTGAACTTTTATTTCTCAGTTAAAGGAACCAGTAATTGCAACATATCCACCTTTTCACTAATCCCATTCGTGTAAACTTAGGTATGATTGGTCGCCTCCTGGCCTGCATAAAATTTAAACAAAAGCCTTTACAGTGGCTGGTTTTGACTGGACTGTTATTCCTCAGAGTGACTCATCATCTCAGTCATCGTCTGGATATTGCGAGACATGGCCAAGGGGGACTTTTTTTTTTTTCCAAACTTCTAATGAGCTTGGGAACTAACCGTGAAAAATAAGCTGTGCTCATAAATACCAAACATATTTGTTTTTCTCTCATCGCTTCTTCAGTTTTCTAGTCACAACTATCTGCATGAAAAGAAATGACTGTTTGTTTGTACATGGGTAATTGCAGACAACATGAGAATATTTTCATTGAAGTATTCTATTCATTTTTCTACCAGTCAAATGCTTGCTATGGACTTCTGGAGACTTATCAGTGTCGAATTTCCTGTGCTCTATGTTAGAGTGTATTGCTAGCACATTTACTGTGCTGTAATGGGGTCAAGATGGTTGATGTAGAACAAAAAAAATGCCATTATCCAGTGATCAGGGTTACCAGCAGGATGGCAGCAGGGTGCTCTAGTTTTGAGAGAGAACCCTGAGCATGCAAGTGAAAACCCCGACAGTAATTAGGGCTGTAGTGTCCTTTAGCGAGACACTAAGTCCCCTGAAAATCTAAATGAGATTCCTACAGGGATCAATAGCAGATCAAACATTTGCATTGAACTTTAATTGGCATTTGCTGATTTGAAATCTGAGACAACTTTAAAAACACTGAAAATTAACAAGAATACCCTGTGAACAGTGTAAAAAGTATTATTCCATTTATTCAACATTTATCTCAACTTTCTTTTCCTTGCCTAGTCTCGTACAGTATCAGAGTATTGAGGCCACCAAATCAGGAACCTACAGTAGGCCTATTTGAAAATAATATTTAATGTTGCTCCAAGTATTGATGATATTTGATGACAAGACTTGAACCAAATTGTAATATGAAAAGGGTGGACTGTACTGAAAAAATACTGAGCTTGGTTTAGTTTGCAAGCCCAGAGATTTCACTGTGAGATGCAAACTAAACGCGCTGTAAGGAAAGGTTCATGGGTGACACATTTCCTGTATGTTTGTAAATAAATAGCTTTGCTCGATCAATCAAAACAAGCTTCTTACATTATTTTACCTGAATCTAGTCTTTTATGAGCAACCAAAAATGGCATGGCTCTGCTGTTGGATTTGCTTGGTCAGTCAGAGGTCACACTTATTGCATGCTTAAAATGCTTCTTCCTCTCAGTTCAGTTTTATTTGTATAGTGCCAAATCATAACAAACGCCATCTCAGGACACTTTACAAAGTAAGGTCTAGACCTTACTATTATTATTATTGTAGAAGAGAAACCCAACAACTCCCCCTTGAGCAAGCACTTGGAGATAGTGGGGAATACACATATTGCCACCTGCTGTTGGGGGGAGTTATTTGTCACGCAGGCGCAGAATGCATGTGCTAGTCGGCCGTTGGCTGCAGACTGTGCGGTGTGTTCAAGTAACCCTTTTTCAACCCAACTAGCCCAGACAAAGATGATGGAGCAGTTGGCCTACACTGCTGCTAGTTCTTTCATGTCAAAGTATTCTGTGTGTTTCACAAATGTATTTTAGACACATAAAAGCAGCATTTGGCTGTAGTGTCAATATATTTTTTGCCTATTAAAATGTCACTTAAATTTAATTTGAGATGGGCAGACAGGCATTCTGCTGGGATTTAAACCAGCATAAGGTTTGATATGTCACATAGAATAGTCACAATATTCAACTGGATGAACTGTAGCTTCTAGAAAATGTTATTTTGCCATATCATGTGATTCCATTTGATGCTTCAAAATTGGGTGATGTCATGTCACATCTTATAATACAAAGAAAATTCCCATTAAACCTGTGGGACTTAAACCCACCAGCAGTAGAGCTCTGCAACCTGTACTTGTGGCAAAATCTTGAGCTCACTGTTCATTTTACATTATGCTGCTAAAAGTTCTTAAACTCGACATGACTTTGTCAAGCTATTCGCAGTAATCCCTGCTTTGCTGAGCCACCTAACTGAACTACCCCTCTGGTTTGGAAATGCTTAAGTCATGCCTTCAAACTGTCAGGATTGATCATTTCACTATACCGAGTCAGGTGTGACTCCAGCAGCCTTGACTGGGAATGATTTGCACCTGTGGCTCTGATATAATCCTAGAGGTTGGTTCCTCACCAAGTGGGAACCGTCCTGCCTGACAACTATCCAAGGTAAACAAGGCCTGCAGTCGCACCGGCCTCATGGTGCCATCAAAACAAACAGGCCAGGCCTGATTGTGGATGTGTGGCATATGTGGCTTAGCCTCTTCCATTGACAACCTAATTCCCCCCTCACCACCTCATAAAGGCTCTACTGACAGCCCCTCCTGAGCCCTGCTCACACATACAGTATTGTTCAAAATAATAGCAGTACAATGTGACTAACCAGAATAATCCAGGTTTTTAGTATATTTTTTATTGCTACATGGCAAACAAGTTACCAGTAGGTGCAGTAGATTCTCAGAAAGCAAACAAGACCCAGCATTCATGATATGCACGCTCTTAAGGCTGTGCAATTGGGCAATTAGTTGAAAGGGGTGTGTTAAAAAAATAGCAGTGTGGCATTCAATCAGTGAGGTCATCAATTTTGTGAAATAACAGGTGTGAATCAGGTGGCCCCTATTTAAGGATGAAGCCAGCACTTGTTGAACATGCATTTGAAAGCCTGAGGAAAATGGGTCGTTCAAGACATTGTTCAGAAGAACAGCGTACTTTGATTAAAAAGTTGATTGGAGAGGGGAAAACCTATAAAGAGGTGCAAAAAATTATAGGCTGTTCAGCTAAAATGATCTCCAATGCCTTAAAATGGAGAGCAAAACCAGAGAGACGTGGAAGAAAACGGAAGACAACCATCAAAATGGATCGAAGAATAACCAGAATGGCAAAGGCCCAGCCAATGATCAGCTCCAGGATGATCAAAGACAGTCTGGAGTTACCTGTAAGTACTGTGACAGTTAGAAGACGTCTGTGTGAAGCTAATCTATTTTCAAGAATCCCCCGCAAAGTCCCTCTGTTAAAAAAAAGGTACGTGCAGAAGAGGTTACAATTTGCCAAAGAACACATCAACTGGCCTAAAGAGAAATGGAGGAACATTTTGTGGACTGATGAGAGTAAAATTGTTCTTTTTGGGTCCAAGGGCCACAGACAGTTTGTGAGATGACCCCCAAACTCTGAATTCAAGCCACAGTACACAGTGAAGACAGTGAAGCATGGTGGTGCAAGCATCATGATATGGGCATGTTTCTCCTACTATGGTGTTGGGCCTATTTATCGCATACCAGGGATCATGGATCAGTTTGCATATGTCAAAATACTTGAAGAGGTCATGTTGCCTTATGCTGAAGAGGACATGCCCTTGAAATGGTTGTTTCAACAAGACAATGACCCCAAACACACTAGTAAACGAGCAAAGTGTTGGTTCCAAACCAACAAAATTAATGTTATGGAGTGGCCAGCCCAATCCCCGGACCTTAATCCAATCGAGAACTTGTGGGGTGATATCAAAAATGCTGTTTCTGAAGCAAAACCAAGAAATGTAAATGAATTGTGGAATGTTGTTAAAGAATCATGGAGTGGAATAACAGCTGAAAGGTGCCACAAGTTGGTTGACTCCATGCCACACAGATGTGAAGCAGTTATAAAAAACTGTGGTCATACAACTAAATATTAGTTTAGTGATTCACAGGATTGCTAAATCCTAGAAACAAAAACGTTTGTACAACATAGTTTTGTGTTTGTACAGTCAACGGCAGACACTGCTATTTTTTTGAACACACCCCTTTCAACTAATTGCCCAATTGCACAGCCTTAAGAGCGTGCATATCATGAATGCTGGGTCTTGTTTGCTTTCTGAAAATCTACTGCACCTACTGGTAACTTGTTTGCCATGTAGCAATAAAAAATATACTAAAAACCTGGATTATTCTGGTTAGTCACATTGTACTGCTATTATTTTGAACAATACTGTAAGTGACCCTCATTGTGAAAATGTGTACCATCATTGGAGGTAAGCTGCAGTCTATTGCCCTTCCCTTTAAAATAACACTTGGCTGTAACAGCATTTTGCTGTCATGATATTGTGACTCAGGGCTTTTCCCCATATTTACAGTGGTTTGTAAACAAGAAAGGTTATAAAATGTAACTTGTGGCATGTTAACTGCACAAGTGTGCGAAAACCCATTTGATATTACAAATTTGAACAAATTTTATTCCCAAATCCACTAACTTCCTGTAAATTGTTTTATCCAACTCCAGTCTGTAGCCAGGAGGAGAAAGCACTGGACATGGATGTGAAAATCTGATCCCCTCTTCATATTTGACAAGGCTATCTAATCCTTTTTGTTCCACCCCAAGAGTCTGTTTCAGAGAAAACTGAACCCTCTGTAAGAGAAACCCAGTGACTCAAAGCAGGACCTTAATGCTTACATGCAGATCAATGTAATAGGTAGGTGTAGTAGAGGCCCCAGTGTGAGTTCAAGGACAACAGGCACAGGTGCAGGCCTAGCTTTGAACAGAGTATACTTTAATAGATTAGCCTCAGAAGTTAAGAAGAACAGCTGTTTTTGCAGTACCATACACATGGCTGGAGCCTGTTGTCAGAGTAGTTTACTTACCCTTTCAAGATAGTTGCTTATTAAAGGGGCATGTTACTGAGTTTGACTTGTAGGGTTGTTGATATACCTTTTTGTTTTTAAAAGTCCACTTTTCTTTGTATACCCTGCTCATTTTTTTTAAAGCTTTTACATAAAAAGGCCGTCTCTAAGTGAGACTGCAGAGGTTGTAGGAATATCAAACGTCATCACCCTTGAGACTAGTCCCTCCTTGACACAGTAACCTCACAAGGGTAAACACTTGATCCGTTGTTCTACAATCTAGACAGAATACACATTGTTCCTCCTGAATCAGAGGTTCAACAATCGGTTGGAGCCTCCTTTCCAGGACCCTGGTGTAGGCTTTCCCAAGGAGGCTGAGTAGTGTGATACCCCAATAACTGAACACTCTCCAGTCCCCCTTTTTAAAAAAAAAATGGGACCCACTACCCCAGTCTGCCAGTCCACAGGCACCATCCCTGACCTCCATGCGACACTGAAGACGCACCCTCACTACACATTTGGTTTTGCCAGGTCTGTCCAGCAGCCTCCCCCGCCATCTGATCCAACTCACTACCAGGTGGTGATCAGGTGACAGCTCTGCTCCTCTTTTTACCTGAGTGTCCAAGACATATGGCTTTAGATCCAATGATACAACAACAAAGTCGATCATCAATCTAAGGCCTAAGGTGTTCTGGTACCAAGTACACTTATGAGCAACCCTATGCTTGAACATGGTGTTTATGGCCAATCCATGACTAGCCCAGAAGTCCAATACCAAAACACTATTCGGGTTCAGATTGGGCAGGCCATTCCTCCCAGGTTTCTCCATCATGGCTCACAGGAGCATTGACGTTCCACAGTAGAACTATGGAGGTGCCCTTTCAAGGACCCTGCCAAGCATCTCCAAGAAGGCCACATACTCTGAACTATGGTTCAGCACAAACAACACTCAAGTTTTCCTCCCAGTGACTATAAGTCACAGAGCCAAACCGGTCGTTCAAAAGGGAGAACACAGCAGCCTGGGATTTGTGAGTATTAAATTTACTTTCTTCTACTTTTCTGCTCCTAAAATGTTTTTCATACTTTACTGAACTACACTACCCTTGCTGTGCAATCTGTGTGTCACAATAAAAGATGGGGTCAGGTCAGAGCCTAGTGAGAGGTGAGCCCTGCACATTTTACATAATACTACTCTCACAACCTTTATATTCTCTCCTGCAGAGGAAATTAATATTTTAATCTCTCAGCAAGATTCAAAGAACAGTTGCTACTCTCACAGGGCAGCAGATAAATAAGTCATGAGCTGCAGGTTTGTGTGATAACAGGGCTGGATAGACAGTCACAACAACACACACTGAGAGGAAGTACACAGCTCTAATTTGGCAGCGACTTTTGAATGGGATGTGAGTCAATGTTGGCTGCTAAAGCTTTGGTGTAAATATCCAAAAGCTGCAGATTCAGAGGCTGACCAACCAGCTCTGTTCAAATGCTTTAGTTAATATATTTGAAATACTGGCACCTTGCAGAAGTTTGTTTCAGTGAACATGTGAAGGTATTGCAAGGCTGCTTCTCTTCACAACAATTAGGCCACTCCCATTACATTACTGAGAGCAGGATGCAGGCACAGCAGCCATGAATAGATTCAGGCGCCACACTGTGGTCAGTCTGAACAGTGACCACCAATTTGTGTGCGCTTTATTCTACAGCTGAAGCCACTATTGTTTCATTTTTTCATGAACAAAATACTGTTCATTTTGCTCAAATTGTTCCCTAAAGAGGAACATACAGTGGTTTCTTGTGTGTAACTCACATCTCATTCTAGCCCAAACAGGAGGTGGCTCAGGCAGTAGAGCGGTCGATTCCCAGTCCACATGCTGAAGTGTTCTCAGGTCAAGACACTGAACCCTGAGTTGCCCCTGATGGCCAGGCAATGACTGACAGCACCACCATCAGTAAGAAATTTCCCACACAGGGATTAGTAAAGTTTTTTTTTTTGTTTGTTTTTAAAAGTACATAATGATAAATTAAATGCACAACTGCAAAACTATTACTATAGGTACTACATTTGTGGGCAAAAAAAAAAAAAAAATTTGTACAGATAAATACACTAAACACCAAGGAGAAGCAGGCTCCACTGCATACTTTTCTAACTTTATTAAATGATAAAACTGTTAAAAGTTAGCGTCCCAAGGTTTGGTTTAGTCCTGTTCCGTTCTGAATCTTCCCAAAGCAAAATAGCTTGTAGTATATGACTCTGACCTAGGATTTCTCTGTAAACTGATGTCTCTACCACAGCCTCTTTTTGTTTTGTTCCATGGCATGTCACTTACACTTTAAATACTAAAGTCATGCTTGTCCTGTAGTGTAGGAATGATGGAAGTCCAAAGAAGGAACCCAGTGAGTATACAGGTGGACAAGGCGTTCAGTACTATTATCCCAAGTATCTTCCTGAGTTAAATCTGTGCATAGTAGTGGCAACAACCATGTATGTCAGTAATCGCAGAAGCAGCTTGCGCTCACACCCTCAGTCTCTCCAAGACAAATAATCCATTGTCCCAAAGCGCCTGCTAGTAGTTGAGGAGGCGCTCCTTTTCTGTACCTGCGTAGCGCTGATTAGCAGCAAACACCTTTGCTTTGTTCACTGAAGGACCTATAACAGAGGAGTCAAAACATACTGCGTTTAATTTAAAATATTAAATCTGTGTTCACATTTTGTATGACTGTCTCTAACATGACGTCCACATTAACACACCTTAATGCTCAATCCCAGTCACATCCAGTCTTTCTATGTAACTGACATGTATCTGGCTCCAGTGTGAACACCAATGAGGTCCTAAACTGTCATGCATGCGCAGATTTAACTGAAAGGTGAGCCACGTGTGTACAACAACAACATCATCATTTTGTGCGACGGTCAAATTGTGCAGTTCCCTGACAAAGTGCTCGGTTACATTTTACGTGATCAGAAGCTTCTCCATAAATGTTTAAATTAAAATGCCCCATCTCTCCACTGACCCTGTGCATGTTCCTGCCTCGCCTCCATGTTTTTACCGGTCTGTGACGGGCTGACACTGACTGACATGCACAGAGGAGTGAGGTGTTGAAGAAATCACATGAACTCTGATCTGACTGTTCTGACAGTGGTTGCATGGTCATAGATCACATAGGAGATCTAGGACAACGTTTTGTTTGACCGCACATCTGTAAAAAGATCAGATCAAATTCACTTGGAGATTAAAAAATAAATAAATAAAATAATCGGATGAGTCACTTCAGCACGTAGTCTGAATGTAGCTTTACTATAGCGACACTACTAACCTATATAGCTGAGCAGTACAGGGAGGAAGATGAGGCCGTGTGTGGCACCCAGCAGGATTATCGCCAAGTACATCCTGAAGTAGAAGACCTGGAAGATCTGTGACTTGGAAAGCGCCAGAATTAAGATACCGCCGAACTTTGTTAATGTGATTCCACGGAACACCTGCAAAAAAAAAAAGAAACAATGTCGCAGGATGAAGTCTTCATGTATATAAGAGCCAAATTATTTTATGTTTTAATGTCAAAATAATTTTAAAACATGATGTTTTCAGTGACTGCATAAATGCAAATGAAATTTTGCTGTACCACTTCCATCCACTGCCAACCCAACCACGTCCTTATTTATTGGCATCACTTCCCCTTGTGAATTTGCTAATGGTTTGTAAAGCCAGACTTACGGAGCTGCCCATGTGAGCTAGAGCCTCCTCAGCCCGTTCCACTCGGTTTTTCTTCATGCTGATGGAAAAAGCTCGCACAATATGACTGCAGAATTCTACAGAGATACCACAACTCTGCAACAAAGGACAGGAAACGACTCAGCACCACATGGAAATGCTGGAATAAAAGCCAATCACCTGAGGTTTGCCTTTGCTGTTTTATGCTGAATATTCATGAGTGAGATTAAGGAAAAACTGTAATCAGTTTCAGTTTCTTGCTGGATATGACAACATTTTATGTGCCAACACAATTGCTGACATGTAGGGACATGGTGATATTGCTAGAACAAAGTCCCTTAGGGTAAGCAAAACAGTCAGATGACCAGAGTATAATCCAATCATGCTCCCAGTTTAAAGGCAGAATTTGTGACCCGAACACACCAGCCCTAACAGAACTACACAGAATACTGGAGAACAACAAACATATAATTGCAATTAAGTTAGTTAAAAAGTTTCCATCTAAAAGTCAAACTATTTAATTATAATTATGAATATGGCTCTAATTTTACATGACCAAAATGGCTAATTGCACACTTACACAATAGGGCTCTTGAAACACTGCATTAAATCACAATTGTGTATCATACTGAACTGTGTGCAAAACTAAGGCAATCCAAAGCTAAACCAGGCAACACAACAGGCAGTTTGTATAAAATACTGACAAAGTCGAAACCCACGTCCATATACTAAGCTCTTTTAAAGCTTTCCATTAGTTTTCATCAAAATAACTTATTTAACTTAATGCTTTACCAATGCTTAGTTTTGTAACTTAGTAAAACGGGATGAACTAAAATGTACTTGCAAATTGTTGCTTAATGAATATATGTCATTCTACTGCCTCACACACTCAAGTCAGTTTAGATAAGTTGCAAAAAAAAAGAAAAGCCTAAAATGTTATGTTTTGTGTTGCTTCTCACCATGACTAGGTTGACGAGGGATACTGCATTCAGGCTGATGTCCCACAGCCACATGACGCCAAACATGTTGACCAGGATCATAGCGATGGTAATGCTGACGATCACAGCTAACCACAGCTCAAAACCCAACAACACTGCCGTTACCACAAATATGGCTGCCAGTGACAGACTTAAGTTCAGAGCGGTGTCGTACACAATGGTGAGGTACTGCTCATAAAACACATAGAAGACACTGTAAAGAAGGAAAGTATATATTTGTGAATGACAATTAGGAAAACTTACAACTTCATTATTAATAGATATTTACATTTTTTTTTTTCAGACAGTCAACTGAATGCTCCATTATCTAGCACTGCATTTCAATAGAAATGTGCCGTGGAAACTTGGCAGCCCATTTATTCTCTTGTATAGACACAGCAAGTCTAATTTTAGTATCTACAAACCACTTTTTGGTGGAATAATGTGTTCAACCTCAATATCTTGAGGTTGTGATCTACATTAGTGGTGGCTTGGCTTTTCTGTGATGAAGGTGACAAAGATCAATTCAGTACTTGTGGTCAAACACAAGCTGCACTGGGATTTATCTCATCTTTACTTTGTTTTTATCCATGACCTACTTTTCTCCTCGGATTGCCTTGAACACAGAGTTCCAAACAACCTAAATTTCATATACAAGTATTTTATCTACCTTAAGTGGCTGCAACTAAAACCACTTAATAATTATCAAAAAGACAACAGTTGTGATAAACGTTACATGCATATTAAGCAAAGAGCAGTGCAACAGGACCTACCTGTAGGCAAAAACTTTGTGGTTCGTGACCTGACTGATACTGTTAGCCAGAGTTCGTGCATTTTTCAAAGCATTTATGAAGTCTGGGGATTCCTTCAGTATGGTGTGGTAGCTCATAAAATAAGAGGCTCCAACCCCTGTGTTGTTGGGATACAGGTCAACTGCTGAAGCGTAGGCTGCATGGCCGCTGGAGGATCATTGACACATTGTGAGAGAGAGACGGAGAAAAACAAGGAGGAGGAAATTACAAACCCCAATGAAACTGGTACACTTTAAAGGAATACTTCTAAAAGTATAAGAAATAGAAGAAAAAGTGAAATAATTCAATGACGCGATTTCAAAAAGACCTAAAAAATATAGAACATTTTGACAGCTATATAATTACCCTTTCCCACACTTGGGGTTGGGATTGTCTGACAGGAACATGGGTAAAAACCGCATGAAGTCTTCTCCTACAGGCCTCTCCTTCCCACTAGGAGTCATGGGCCGACAGCCCACACAAGATGCGTTGACCACTGGAAGACAATATTAGGACTTTATTTATCCAACAGGTACATGAGTAATACAAAAAAATGATCTTGGAGATAAAGCAAATGAATTTAAAAAAATAGAGTTGCACAACAGGATTTTGGCAGTGAAGTTATAAAATTATAAAATGCTTGGATCAATTTTTTTTTTTTTTTTTATTAATTATAAATATCCTAGAAGGCTTTGGTGATTAACATGCACTGAACTGCTTAATTTACCTGAATTTTAATTCATAGTATTTTATCTACAGTAAAATTACATTAAGATTTTGTTGTATATTGCCTGATTCCTGCAATTCCTCTGCTGGAATTTACTCTAAAATGCTATTTGTTTTACTGCATTTTGTTTACAAAGCAGAGGCAAAAATATTGAACTTAAGTCAAAGAGCAGCTTGTGAGACCGGGGTCATGAGACAAGGGGTCAAAGTGTATTGATACTGGATAAAAATAAATACATAAAAATGACCTGATGCATTGCAGAAGGCTCCAGTGGTGTTGTAGTATCGACAGCAGGTGGACTGAGGCTTCACCCAGTCAAAGTAGTCATCTAGCCAGGAAGACGGTGTGGTAGCAATGGTTGTGCTAGGAGTAAAACATTCAGTTGAAGAGATCATATAATTATAGTTCAGATTAGTTTGACATTTGTCACGTGATCTGAAGGCTCCAGTTTTCAGCTTATGGTGTATGGTTGACACATAGATATTAAATGTAACAAATGAAAGAATTTTCAAACTGGTTCCCAGACACTTCTTGTAATTCGTGTTTTTGTCTTATTGATTTTTCATGTTCAGTTCCATATTACATAGTTTATTCATAGCTCAAACTTACTAATTGCTGATGAGTGAGGCTTCATAGACTTGCTGAACCAGAGAGTTGTTGTTGCAGCCCACCCCTCCACACACCACATTCTGGTCCTCTGTGCTACTGTAATTGAGACCATCCTCTACCACAAAGTACACTGGAGCTCCAGTGTGGAGATACTTGCTCATGCTCTTAAAGTAGTCCAGAACGTACGAGTCCTAGATGGAGAGACAAACTGTCAGAGCTGAACCCCCCCAGGTAGAGAAATGCATAGCACAGGATTTTATACATGTTGTACAGAAAGTGTTGCAAAAATTGAATGTTACGAGAATTCAAATAATGGCACCACATGACATGCAACTGATCTAGCATCTTGGATGACTGACAGGAGCAGAAAAACGCTCAGTAAACTAAATTATATAACAGGTCTTAGTACAAATATTTAAATTATGACCATATTTCTGTTCCCTTTTTTGGTCTAAAAGGTTCTAGCAGTCTCTGCTAGCAATCAGCAAAACACACAGTTATGATAGACACTAGAAAAACTTACATCAGGCATGGATAATTTCTGGTCCAGTCCAACCTCTACTTTATTCACCACAGCAATACTGAACGATAGCATTCCTACAAACACTGCGACCTAAAGAAGGAAAGATGAAAAACCTTTCATAAAGCACAACAGATCATCAGATACTGATGAAAAACAGTATACTACTCGGTGTCAATGAGATACTTACTACTATTGGTCGCACCCACTCTTTGAGGATGAATGGAGCATAGACTTTCTTGAAAAACCAGAAGAAGAAGCCATCTGTCTTTGTTTCCTGGCCTTCAGGCAGTGTCACACAGCAGACGACGTCAAACCGATTACTCTTTTAAAACAGAACACGGCCACTGGTAAGTGTAACTGAATCACTGAAGAACATACTCCCAACCATGTGTCATTGAGGCCCAAAAGCAGGTTTGTGGTGAAAACACACTATAGTACACTGACTAATTACAATGTTCTGCTAACAATCAGTACAGTGCCTTGCGAAAGTATTCGGCCCCCTTGAACTTTGCGACCTTTTGCCACATTTCAGGCTTCAAACATAAAGATATAAAACTGTAATTTTTTGTGAAGAATCAACAACAAGTGGGACACAATCATGAAGTGGAACGAAATTTATTGGATATTTCAAACTTTTTTAACAAATAAAAAACTGAATAATTGGGCGTGCAAAATTATTCAGCCCCTTTACTTTCAGTGCAGCAAACTCTCTCCAGAAGTTCAGTGAGGATCTCTGAATGATCCAATGTTGACCTAAATGACTAATGATGATAAATAGAATCCACCTGTGTGTAATCAAGTCTCCGTATAAATGCACCTGCACTGTGATAGTCTCAGAGGTCTGTTTAAAGCGCAGAGAGCATCATGAAGAACAAGGAACACACCAGGCAGGTCCGAGATACTGTTGTGGAGAAGTTTAAAGCCGGATTTGGATACAAAAAGATTTCCCAAGCTTTAAACATCCCAAGGAGCACTGTGCAAGCGATAATATTGAAATGGAAGGAGTATCAGACCACTGCAAATCTACCAAGACCTGGCCGTCCCTCTAAACTTTCAGCTCATACAAGGAGAAGACTGATCAGAGATGCAGCCAAGAGGCCCATGATCACTCTGGATGAACTGCAGAGATCTACAGCTGAGGTGGGAGACTCTGTCCATAGGACAACAATCAGTCGTATACTGCACAAATCTGGCCTTTATGGAAGAGTGGCAAGAAGAAAGCCATTTCTTAAAGATATCCATAAAAAGTAAAGTGTCGTTTAAAGTTTGCCACAAGCCACCTGGGAGACACACCAAACATGTGGAAGAAGGTGCTCTGGTCAGATGAAACCCAAATCGAACTTTTTGGCAACAATGCAAAACGTTATGTTTGGCGTAAAAGCAACACAGCTCATCACCCTGAACACACCATCCCCATTGTCAAACATGGTGGTGGCAGCATCATGGTTTGGGCCTGCTTTTCTTCAGCAGGGACAGGGACGATGGTTAAAATTGATGGGAAGATGGATGGAGCCAAATACAGGACCATTCTGGATGGAAACCTGATGGAGTCTGCAAAAGACCTGAGACTGGGACGGAGATTTGTCTTCCAACAAGACAATGATTCAAAACATAAAGCAAAATCTACAATGGAATGGTTCACACATAAACATATCCAGGTGTTAGAATGGCCAAGTCAAAGTCCAGACCTGAATCCAATCGAGAATCTTTGGAAAGAACTGAAAACTGCTGTTCACAAATGCTCTCCATCCAACCTCACTGAGCTCGAGCTGTTTTGCAAGGAGGAATGGGCAAAAATTTCAGTCTCTCGATGTGCAAAACTGATAGAGACATACCCCAAGCGACTTACAGCTGTAATCGCAGCAAAAGGTGGCGCTACAAAGTATTAACTTAAAGGGGCTGAATAATTTTGCACGCCCAATTTTTCAGTTTTTTATTTGTTAAAAAAGTTTGAAATATCCAATAAATTTCGTTCCACTTCATGATTGCGTCCCACTTGTTGTTGATTCTTCACAAAAAATTACAGTTTTATATCTTTATGTTTGAAGCCTGAAATGTGGCAAAAGGTCGCAAAGTTCAAGGGGGCCGAATACTTTCACAAGGCACTGTAAGTAGAACTAATCAGTGAAATTATCTAGTACAAAGACCAGTAGGATGACAGCACATCACATATCTGTACAACAGTCCATGACATCTGTAACCCTTCTAATATCACGAATGTCATCAGCGCTTCCTCTCTGTCTCACCTCCTGTCTTTTAGCGTCCAAGCCGAGCAAGCTGACAAAGCAGCTGATCTGCAGCAGGAAATCAATAAAGACAGCCAAAGCAGCAAACAGAGAGAACGTCCTCACTGCAGGCATGTTTGACAAGGCTCCTGCAGACCAAAAAGTCAACATTTCCATCAGCATACAGCTCACCAGGGTTCAGTAGTACTTTTGTGGCAGCTGTGTCAATCCTGCCCACCAAAACATTTAAGGTGGAACATCATCATTAATAAGTATCATAGTTTCATTGTAACTGTCTGTGCACATATTGGGTGCATTAAACTGGTTACTCATTTTACCCAGGAAGAAGGCCAGTGTCTCAGCAAAAGAGGAGAGGAACAAGCTAGGAGCTATGTCTCCAAGAATACGACCAATCTGCTGGTGAAGTTCCTCCTGAGGCATCCTCTCATCCCGCTGTTCAGAAATGTCAGTGGAGAAAGATTTAGCAAGTTTAACAAGTTAGAGACAAAAAAAGACTCACTAAAATCACTGTTTTTAAAAGACCTACACACAAGAAGATAAGCACAAATAGCATAAGATAAAATGTCTGTTCAAATGAATACACTGCAATTAAACATAATAAATCAATCGGTACATATTCTATACACCATTTTAATGGACTGGGAGAAGTGACAGTACCTGATATGTCTGTACTATAATAAAGATATTGTCCACTCCAACAGCCAGCACCAGGAAAGGAATGACCTCAATCACAATGAGGGTGAGGGGGATACCAGCATAGCTGAAGATCCCTAGTGAGGCGGCAACGGAGCTGAGCACGATAAGGATTCCTGCTACACCCAGGGAGATCTTGGAATCCACCTGTACTGGCCAAAAGACAGAGGATCGGTTATCTTCTTCCCTTAGTTGACACCTTCTGTGCTTGCGTGACTGGTAGTTCAGCATGTTTTACTGAATCAAAGCAATCTGACAAGGTTTTAGGTCACAGGCAGGAAAGAGTTGTACTATCTCAGGTATGGAATATACAGTAGTAACAACCACTTTGAGCAAAAAATAAAGGGCATGACACATGAATGAAAACTCAAGTGACGCTGAACTAGGACTTTGTTCCCTACCATCACTCTCCTGCAGCTGTGAATGTGACCCAGGGCCAGGGAGACGTAGACGAACATAATGACATAGCTGAGTACTATGGTGCTGATGTCGCTGTTGCTTTCTCTGTTGATTTCATCTTCAATACTCCTCTCTGCACTGAAGGCTATGGTCAGGTTGGGGTTTCTGAAGTTTTTCATGAACTTGATGAATCTGAAACACACCCAGTAATAGTACACACAGTTAGCAGCTAATTATGTTGAAGCTATAGTAACAAAGTAATTTCAGAAACAGATTGACGTCTCACTCCTTCTCCCATGCCAAAGCTTTTCCCAGCCTAACCGAGTCATTCAAGTAGTTGTTGAGTGGAAAGGTGATCACAAGAGCTGTGGCATTGTTGTAGTTTGTTTCTGTAGTGTGGGGGAAAAACAGATGCATTTATTTGAAAAGGGAGGCCATCACTTAGACACTTCCCAGTTATCAAGAACATTACTGAAATGACACTGGCTTTAACAGCTAAGCATTACTTCTAGTGAAGAGACGACAACAACAACACAGGTAAAATTCCCCAGAACAGCATGGCTGGCCCTTAGACATTTTTCTTACTCTTGGTTGTATTTACATTATCATTTCAAACGCACTTGTTGCCTGACTGCTCCACAAACGTGATATATTATATACTGTATACACACACCAGAATTAATGCTAGTATAAATTCTAAGATATTGCCAAAAAATATCTAAAAAAAATAAAACCACAAAATCTAACTGCATCAACATTACAACATTAATAAAGAACACAATGTAAGACGTTTCTGAAAACGTTTAAGACTGCTCATATAGAAGGTTAATGTTGAGCAACCAAAAGGGCATGGATTTTTTTTTCCCCTTAGTACAATAATACAATCTACAGAGAGGCTCTACACAGATTAGGTTGGTGTTGGAAATGAAGAACTAGCTCACCATCGTAACCACCAAGGGCCAGCCAAGGGAAGACGGGGCCACCAAAGGTGCCTAAGCAAGGGTCATGCAGGAGAGTGGTGTCGTTGAGGGACGCTGGCGCACTGTAGACAAAAAGAGTTAAAATCCTGAAAATAAATCCCTAAAATGTCAACTGATTAATCCAGTCATCAGTATGGGTTTTCATGATATGACATCACTGCAGCGGAGTTAAAGGGATCAGATTAAAAAAAAAAAAAAAAAAAAAAAAAAAAAAAATTGATATAGCAACTTTTCTAAGACCTCCATATTAGTGCTGGCAATTATACGTTTAAAATAGAAGCTATTCATAAATACAGTGTTTGCAAAAGGTAGAGACACTAAAGCAACTTCAGAACAATCACCTGACACAGTAGAGGAAGTGGCTGTGATAGTCAGCAAATACAAAGAATTCATCTCCTATGCTGTGGTCCAGCACAGAGTGGCTGTTCTGGAAGTAGTTGAGGATACTCAAGATGGTACAGTTGTCATTGTATGGGGCCAGCGGAGCCACGCAGATGTCCTTTAGGGTGACATTTTGGCCCTCGTAGATGGCTACAAGGTCTTCGATGTGAAGCTGCAGATCCAGCACCTGGTTGGTTAAAGTTTAGGGAGAAAAATGAGAAGTAAAAACAAGGAGAGCCAATAAACCACAGATTCAGAGATGCAGCTGCTCTTCTTCTCTGATAACAGTGGCTCTAACAGTGTTGCTGCACACTTTCTAAAACCCAAACAGAAAAAATAATATCATGCATAACTATTTTCCATTTAAGTCCATGAATAAAATGTGGTACAACGTGTTTTATAATTTAAAGCAAAAGCTTATTTAGATGACAATTACTGGTGTGCCCATACAGTCTGTGGGTGTGACAAAAGAATCATTTATAATGGAGAGGACAACATGTACGGTCAACAAACGAGCATAATCACCAGCACATTTTTATCAACATCTATGTTACATACATTTAGTTACCAAAGTAGTAGGTCCACTCCATTAGTGCTGAGTGACTCAACTGCTTTAATTCCCAAGTTTAAAATTTTTTTGTTTATCACATAAGTTGCCTCAAACTGTTACATGAGACAGCTGACCATTCCTGGCAGCCTACTTTTCATCTTGAAGTCAAATTTCCTTAATTTGCATCTCCCCATCTTGTTGGCTTCTTTTTCTCTTTTGTGGGAATGTGGGAGATGGTGTGTGTATAAGTCATGTATAAGTATGTACAAGATATAGCATTTGAAATCCAGACAAATTTGTAATAAAAGATTATATTGCTAACCACATACAGTAGACAGATTTGATAAAGTATTCAGACATGTCTTGGTACCTAAGCATCATCTCAAAATTTAAGACATCTCATGAGTAAAAGACTTTTTATGACCTTAAATATTTTAAATACAATTTAATACTTTTGATCTTTTCAAAAGGACCTCTCCTACCTGGTGCAGGATGTCTTTTCCCAGTATAGCTGTGAATGGGACATCTAATCCTGCAGGGTACGGGGAGTACACGGAACCGGTACTGAGTGGAGTGGTTATAATAAGCTGTACAGTTCTAAAGAAGGGTCCAAAGTGGCTGTCAAAGTAGTTTTTTTCTTGACGAGCCTGGCTAGTGGGAGACGACCACAGCTCAACTGGGTCAGTAGTGATGCGCATATAGGCCAGTCCCCCAGCGGAGGCTCCCACCAGTACCAGGCTGCTCAGTATGACCAGAGTGGGATGCCGCACACAGAAAGAACCCCAGGAGCTGAAGAGGATCCGGAGTGCATTCTCAAAGCGTTCGCCAAGAGTTTCACCACACGATGCATTTACTAAGGAGAGATTGGGTGTTAGTTTCAGTCATGCACCAATGACAAAACAATGTTATTGTTTGTATTGCATCCAAAGCAATTTAATAACTTGACTGACAAACAGACTACAGAAAGAATAAACTGACTGATTGTCATTTGATTATTATACCCTGGTCAGAATCATCACTGTTGAGAGACCGTGGGTCATTACTGTCCTGTATGGGGCCATACTCCGACATGATTCTCCTTTTCCTATAGACAAAAAGAATCACAGCAGTCAATTAGATATTAACTTCAAATGCCAGCAAATTATTTCTGCCGCATTGGGTGAGGGGCTACAGGGATACTGTATGATACGGGTTCCAGCATGATACGCCATAAATCCTTTACCTGTAACACCAAGCTCCCAGTACAGCTCCCATAAAAATCAGCAAGAAGGCCATGTAAGAAATCCACATGATGACAGTCATTGCATCAACACCAAAGATTGTCCAGGGTTGGGGGACAGGGGGCGGTACAGGTTTGGGCCCACAAGCCTTTGTGCAGTCCTGGCAGGAGCAAGGACCTGAACCATCCTCCAAGCCTTCGGTGCAGGCATACGTCTTGTTGTTCATGGGAGTGTAACCGGACACCGGGGCATCTAGAGTAAAGAAACGACATAGCACAAGATGATGGATTTATCACCCAACAAATAATAAAGTCATTTAAAATGCTCAACAAACTAGTTAACTTGTACAAAGAAAGCAGTGGGGTTACCTTCCTGCAGCAGGATCATGATACAAAATATTTTTAAAATGTGACAGAACGATTTACCTGAGAATATTGGAATGATAGGGAAGGGAGTCTGTCCATTGTTAATATCGAACATGTACTGGATCCAGTTAGTAGCATTGCAGTCCTTTGCGTCCTTGCCACACAGCAGTGATAAGGCCTTCACATTGCTAGACGGTGCTTGGACGTCCTTACAGGCATTGTACATGGCTGAAATAGTACAATTAGATTATTATAGGCCAAAACTCAAGATTCTCATTAAAAATAAATTGTCTATCTTCGGTTTTATTTGACCCTCCCGCAAAAAATGTAGCAGTTTTGACTGTCACAGATTTACACAACTCAGTGCTTGCCTTTAAGTGGGTACTGATGAAGTTTAGTCAGAAAATTTTACAAACAAGCTAAACATGGCCAATTTACCTTGGTACAAAAAAGGTGAAAGCTGTTTTTGTATTTAAATCCAGGCTGTTAACTCACCATTAGCAAATGTTTGTCCAATATAGTACTGTACTTCCACCACATTACGCCCATTGATCTTGGTAGCATTCATGAACTGACTTTGGTGGGAGCTGCATGTCAGCTCACAGAAGAGGGTCATCAGATTGAAGTAACAGGCAGGACAGCTGTACACAGATGTAGCGGAGATCACAAAAAAGGATTAAAAAAAAAAAAAAAAAAAAAAATCACTGCATAACTTATAAAAAAAAATAAAACAAGTTAAAGTTTAAAAGTGTAAAAGAGCTGCACAGACAAAACGACCTCAAATCAAATTGCAGTCATTTGACATGTGAGCCAGTCAATTTCTAACTCATTACTTGGAACATACAAAGTCAAGGCATGCAGGTTATAACTAACATTTGAGCATGACATTCACTGACAGTGTTAAAAAGCAGGGAAGCCTACTTTGGGTTCAGAAGGTGAATGTTTGTGGCCTTCTAAGCATGTCATGTGCTTCATTAGTTAATGTTATAATCGCAATGCATACCGAGACAGGAACTGATAGGGCAGCTGGAGACTTGCTTTGAGAGTTCGCAACTGGGCAGCATCACAGCAGAGACTTCGGTTTCCATAGTCATATCCAGGACAAAGGTCCTGTATGTAAACAAAAAAAGAGAGATGTCACTTTGCATTTTAAAGAATTGTTCCATTATGCAGAACAAAGCACTACTGGAAAGCAGAAATATGTTTTAGAAGGTTGATTTGAGCATCAAATATGAGCAACAACAGGAAAAAAGGATTAAGAAACATACCGTGACAAGTTCATAAGCATCTCTGTCTAGCGGGATGGGAGGACCGGTGTAGTTACAGTTGTACTTTTTTCCAGGCACTTTTTCAGACTCACCACACTCACCGTGCCACACACAATGCTGGGCTTCAACCTGACAGTCAAGAAAAATAAGTAATTTGGCCTTTGAGTTTCACTATGCTGATCTGTATACAGCATGGTTATTTTTTTATTGCAAAGTCTGGTGAATCTTATGTGACAATATTAATAGGAGCCCCAATTTCTATCTAGTGAGGATGCCAGACAGACGGAGAGCACGAGCACACCGAGTTCAACTAAAGGTAACAATGGCCATTGTGTTTTAGGATTGGGCTGATCAAAAAGACTTTACAGTTCTCCTCTGAGGTAAACCTGTATGGTTTTGCATTTGACAGCTTAAACCGGTCACTTTTCGTTTCCAGTGATGCCTCGTGCTTTGAGTGTCTGAAAATAAAAATTTCACTTCTGCAAAAATGTTTACTGACATGGCAGCATTTCAACAGCAAGCTCTTGTAAAACAGCTACTGATGACAAATGAGCATGTGATTAAATCAAATCAAACAGATGCGGGGCCAAGTATTAAAGGTTTTTGTCTGGTCTATTTTGAAATCACCCTCCCAAGTGAAGTAGTCCAGTACAACACCACCTTTAACTATGACATCAACAATAAACATATAATTGAATGTATACATTTGACAATTTCACCAAAAACTGAAACATTTTGAGCTTCATAAACAGATATTTTTATACTTCAATACTATTTAGCTTCTGTAGTCAGGGTGTATCATGATCTGTCTATTCAGCATCAGAGCACATGCTCTTTGTTGGGACTGGTCACTAGGGGAAGTTAATTCACTTACTTTACAAACTGGTTAGTGAGTCAGCACCATGTCACACTCTGCACAACCTGTGCCTAATGGGATTGAGTTTAAGAGCAGCATTTGAATTCTATCATTTCCTCAGTTAGAGTTTTATGCAGCTGAAGACAAGGTTGGTACTCTAATTGTACCAGCTGTTTGTCCAAAGTCAGTCTGCAATGTTTATTTGAAGTGGATCATAAATATAACAGAAACATGACCATAGACTCCCAATCCCACAAAAGAAATGGGCGTGCGCACACGTTTCTGTAAAATCCCTTCCACTGCAGTTTACAAATAATCAATATTTTTACTCATTCCACATTCTTGCTGTTAACAGGAGACTGATATCTTATCTTGAAACAGTAATGATTAATCAGATTCAGAGCTGTAGTTTTAGCAAAGTATTTCTGTGCATTGTAGTAGACTGACCTAATGACCATGTAAAGAGTGAAAACAATCCAGCGAAATAAACTTAGAGGCTACTGATGACAAGCGAGCATGTGATTAAATCAATTCAAACAGATTTAGTAGGGCCAACCGTGATAAAGGTGTTTGTCGGGTCTGTTTTGAAATCACATCTTTAGCAAAAGCACCCCCAAGTGATACCTGTGACATCATTTTCACTGTCTTTCAAATGGAAATGATAAGAGTCTCCTTAACACTACAACACGATACATTTGCTAAGATACTTGGAAAATTCTTCTACATTTAATGTGTTTAGTGTGAATCTTTTTTGTAATGTCAGAACTGTGGATGAAGTTTTGATTGTCTTTTGTTTGTAACTTTTGTGTAACCTTAGCCTACTTCTTTTTGCGTTATATTTAAAACAGTCAGTCACATTAAAGTAGCTTAACCATCTCCAAATTACATCTGCTGGCTCAATAACTTGCTAACAGTGCAGATTTAAGGTCTTTCATTCCGGCTTTGTTGGCCTGTAAAACTGGGTTAACTGGAACACATTTACCTAAGCTTTATTTTAGTGCCTGGTCAGAAAGGGCGCTGTTGTCCTTTTGTTATGACTTGACAAAGGAAACTCATTGCGACACCAGCTTTAAGCCCAGTACAACCAGTAAGGTTAAAATGTGAAATGTCAAAGCTAACGTCTTATGCTATCTAGTTTCAGTTTTCGCTGCTGGTATGGTTTTCAGCTAGCACTAATGCTGGTTATATGTTTCAGTTAAATCATTTACTGCTTAATGCTATACCCTGAACAAAGAGTTTGAACACCAATCTAGCTAAACAACCTGAATCTTAGTTTCGCTAGCCGCCTCAGTGCAGCCGGGGCTGAGTCATGTTTTAGTCACGAGTAGACGGGCGTTGAGTTATTCTTACCCATCGAAAATGTCCCTCTGACAGCAGTATAACGAAGAAAACTGTGTAGAAAATGCTTCTTCCGGATAAGAACCCCATCCCTCTTACTGAAAAGATCAAATCGAAATGACAGCTCAAGGAAAGTTTTGCATATTTTGTTGATGGTCTTCTTCTTCGGTGGATTATGTTTTTGGGGCGGAGACAAAGGGATGCCTCAGTGCTGCCACCACGTGACGTTACCGATACACTACATGTGAAATAACATGAAACTACATAGGTCTACAGTCCGTGAATGGTGGGCACTGAGAATCTAGTTTATCAGTCAGCTTCTTAATATAAACATTTGGGTCTTTTTGGTTTGGCGTGCCAACATTTTATTCTAAAATACAATATATCAGACTTTTTCAGGGATAGAAAAATGTAATCTGATTACTTTGTGTTCTCCTTTGTACACATGTATGTTGCATCAATAATAAGATTACATTGGAATTTTAGAAAATTTGTAGAGCATTTTAAATCAAAAGCACTGATAATATTTGCATAGTATGAAATCAGTCAGTACATTGACACAGTGTCCCCTTCAAACAAAAAAGACTGCAAAAGAATGCAACTGGTATGTGTGTAAAGACATCCATCTGGTCTGTGGTGCTGTTAATGTTTAATTTCTCTAGACAATGTTTGGGGAAACTGTCAATAAAATCTGATCAAAGCACACCCAGAGTCCTGATGAAGCATTTTAGCTGGTGTTCAACCTTAAGTGATTAACAAGTAGACTTTTTTGTAACTTTAACTGTTGGTTTAGTCAAAAATATTTGTTGTAGAAAAGTACAGTGCACATGTAAAGCCAAGTTAATGAATCTAAAGTAAAATAAATACATAAATGTTTCACTGTAATATTGTAACCTCTAACCATACAGCCAAACTTAATCATATAAAATTTCACAGTAAAATATAATAGTCATCGTTGCTTAAGAATTTCTACAACTTGCAGTAGTTAAACATTTAAATCACTTCTAGTGCTAGCATCAGGGTGGACCATGCACTTCTCTCTCAGCTGATTATTTACTTATTCCTCAGATTGTTACCTGAAGTGCTGCATGTAGCAAAATAAAAAAGTCAATGAGTGGATCATTGGGCTCTTTGTCTTTCACTTATTAAAGTTGTGGGGAAAAAACAAGATACATTTCCATAGAAAAAAGATTTATTCACTTTTGAATGAAATAATCACAATTCAGGAATAAGTGCATATTCGTGTATGATATGTACTGATAAATTAAAGGTGATTATTTTGGGGTATATTACAACATGATCACTGTTTTCTGGACATGTACCTGTGTAAAATCTGCAAAAGGCTTATAGGCTGCTACAATAGAATATTCATTTAAAACTAGGAATGATATGTACAGTATAGAAGTAATGTTCTTGCAGGACTACTAGACTTTAAAGCTAGGAGCAGATAGATTTATAGTTATGGTGTCAACACCCCGTGAGAAACAAAAGCCTACATTTTTAATAAAAAACAAAATCAGACAAGGAAAGCCTCTGGTAATAATATAGATACATTAGTATACAACAGTCTTAGTTAAATAGCTTAAAGCCATTCAAATAGTTTCTAAAATAGCCAGCATCATGTTTACAGGGAAATACTACTTTTATTTAAAAATTCAAACACGTTCCTCAGCATGACCTAAGACAGTTCAACCAGCATTTCAAACTCAAAATAAATAAAAAAAAGAAAAAAACACTATGGGAAAGCATACTGTTATTTTTAAGCTTTTTTTAAAAAATCAGACTTTGGCTGCCAAGTGAATGTGCTGAGCAGAACAAACCAGATAAGCTTTTAGTACACACAGAAGTGTTAAAATATATACCATGCGTGGGAAGAAATCAGTAACAGGGCCAGAAAAAAAAGGACAAATATGCCATAGTTCAGCTGACTCTGTGGGTCCACTGCCGTATCTACCATCCATTTTTCTACATAGTTGGTGTGATAGCACACATAAGGGGGCACAGGATTACCTTTGTTTCTATCTAAGAGAAAGCAATATATTAGTAATACACACAGAACTGTCTTAGAGCATAAAGGTAACATATTTAAATGACACACTTCACCAGTATTCCCACGTAAACTGACTATACATTCTATACAACCTGTTTTCTCATTGACTCATCCTTCAGGAAGAGTGTCGTCAGCCCTTTGAGAACCCCAACAGCTGAGCCAGCATTTTATCTTCTTGACATCACCACAGAGAAACAAGGCTTCACATCAGCATCAAGCAAGTGGACTATTGTCAACCTCTTGAATATCAATATATCAATACACTCTAGTGATTGTCTCCCTAACCAGCGATTCTACAAAACATGTACCTTAAGCTGTGTTGAGCTGCCATTTTTCTGTTTTTCTGTTCTTAGCAGGAGCTTCTGCCTCCTGAAAAACGGAGGCGTTGAAATCCTTTTAATAGCATTCTTCCACCGACACATTTGGATCACATACAGCATTTCGTGCAGAACATTTAGAGATCTTCACATCTGACATGTTCAAAAGAGATTTTCAGTTTCTCACAGGGGTTACGACATTAGGACAGAGTTTATCTGCTCTTGCAACTTACGGGTCATCTGAGTCACGTATGAGTCACGCTGCATCCTGAAAACGTCATTTGTGGTTTGGTGATCAGGAAAAGTCTTTGGAATGAGACACGTTTTTGTGACAAGTATGAGAGCATGCATACAACATGAAAAGCTGCACAAAGTGTCACTTGACTCTGTAATAAAGGATACAGCATATGTGATAATGGATTGTACCATTTAACTACTCCCAGGAGTCAATGCCCTTTCTTAATGGAACAGTCTCATTTCCTGTCAGTATCCACTAAGTCCTCAGTCTGGGCCCAGGTACTCTGTGTTCTCCGCTGCTGGGATGTGTCCGTTGGTATGGGTCTTGATGATGGGACTGAAATCCTGTTGGTAATCAGGGTTGTCTATGCTGTTCTGCGGCAGGTATTTCTGAATGCTGTGCACTGTGCCATTGGAGGTGAGCGGGAGAATGGCGGGGGATGGGAACTCGTTGAGATACTCTGGTCTGCTGGCCACATTCTTAAAGCAGTTCAGGTACTCTGTCTCTGTGTCGTCTGAAGAGATGGTAGGAAGTAGGGTGCGAGGCGGACCGGGGTGTTGGTAGATGGGATTCATCATATCTGAGACTCCATTCTGGTTCATGTAGTCTGTAAGAAAGCCAAATACTTTAGCAAGGACACTGAACATTGTATGCATAATGTTATATACTGTATAAAACCTCATGGGGTTTAAAGATAGTTTTTGAGGGTATTTTTGCATTTTATTAGCTAGCTGACAGAATAGGGATGACTGGACATGAAAAGGACGACATGCAACAGAGGTCACTGGTCAGATGCAACTCAAAGATGTGAGTCAGAGCCTTAAACCACTACACTACCAGGGCACCCCTGGCCAATTAGCTAGACCAATTAGTTGGTTGTCTGAAAACTTAAAATTTTGAGCGAGTAATTTATCCCAGAGTTCAATGGCTTCCTCAGTTCTCAGAAGCAAAATGTCTTCTTTCTTTTGCTTAACATATTTCTTTAAGTTTCTGTATTGTATTTTACCATTTGAAGTATCTAAACTGTCAGTGTCACTGTGTGCCAAAGACATTTTTCCATTTTGGTGGACAATAAAGTTGCAGTCTATCCTATTCTTCAAAAATGAAAAGGACAATGTAAAATTATTTGTTTTTGCAATATAAAGGCTGCTGCTTAGAGGCTGAGATGCTAGTTTCCAAGAAGACAAAAAAAATCCTGCATGATCCTTTAAAAATCTAATAGAGGTGCAAGTAATATACAGATAGTAATAATACATATTTGATGTTCTTATGGTCATGAGCACAGCCCTAATGCTGCCGGAAATCATTTTTATATCCCCCATGAGAGCCACCACAACTAAAGATTTATGCACTAATGGCATTGTAAAAGCAGTGGAGAAGTCAAGTAGCATATGTTCCTCAGCATGGGCAGCAAAGCAATTAGCACAGCAGAGTGCTTCTTGGCCACTAGATGTCCCTCTTCCTCACTGAATCAAACAGAAGGAGCTCTACTGAGATTTGCTTCAAACACATTAAAAAGTACAGCCACTGAGGGGCTTTGACATTAGAGGATTCTTGCCTGGGGCTGGCTGGAAGGCATCGTCCAAAATGTTGACCGTGGGGTCAGGAATATAGCGGAGAACCAAGCTTCCATCTCTGCTCGGGAGCCCATTCTGTAACAAAGGACAGAGGTTAATACGGTTGTGGCCCTCTCTGTGAAAAACAATATAAACAAATGTAATAAATCAATGATAATAACAGGGGTAATTTTCTCTAAGTGCAACTGAAAGGATTAACTTTTACTGACCAATAAACCATTTCTGCTGTGGCACGTTCCAATGCTGCTGGTGAGGCTCTGCAAAATAGATAAGACTTTAGTTAATATCTCATGATGACACCATGGCAAATACAAGGCAAGAAACAGTGTTTTATGGAGCCATGTAAATAATTTACTATTTCCCATAATTCAGACAATGAGTAAGAAAAGGCTTAAAGTAACTACACAGGTGTTTTCAGTGTAATAACACAGAGTTGGGCCCCTGTGCTGGGTTTTTGATTTAGATAGTTCCTTTATATTGTCATCTTTCACTTTCGTTATCTTTGATCCCAACGTCTTTGCTTCCTTCCTTTTATTTATGAATGATGTGAGTGTGTTTCTTCCTGTCATTATGATTTATTTTAAAGCCTCTCAGGGGACAATAAGTTTTTGAATAGTGAGTAATGTTTTTTATATTACCCAAAGAACCATCGCTGTCGTCTCAGTACAATCTGATGAGGACCGAAATAAATGTCCACCAAGCAGATTCATTCAAGCAGTCTGATATGCTTTGTTGTGTCTGTCAGACTCTTGAGTCACAAGACTGTGAATGGTGTTAGACCATGGAAACCAAGTGAAAAAAGGGAACGGAGTGACAGCTGTGGCAATGCAATTACTTTCAACAAAAAAAGGAAATTAAACAGGCTGAAGGAGCGACCATCTGTAAAAAATTTCTCGACCCTTAGTGGGCAGTGCCCCAACAGTGAAATTACAAAAACAGGTTTATGCTGAGCTTTTACTGGACAAAGACTTGAAAAAGTTCCACTGCTCGCCTGCAAAAGCAATCAAACTTGAAAGCTTGTACGGGCTAACCGCCTAGCAGTGGCCGGCAATAATCCCAGGTAGAAGAGTCAGACCTACGCATGTCCTTCACTGAACCTGAAGTAGAGGAGCTGTCCTCGTACTGTTCCCATCAATCAAAGGGCACCTGGGAGGAAGCGTGGGAGAGGTGATGATGATGAGGGTGAGTGCTAGGGGTCAGGGAGAGGAGAAATAGTCCCGGTGGTGACAGTTAAACAGAATGAGGGCAACTGAGGTCAGTAGGGTTCAGACCAGGTACCGGCCACTCCAGTCCACTCACCCAGATTCAGCACAACAGCTTCTACTGACTGACGTGTTAGCTAGTTACTTTCAACAAGCAAGGAAATGACTCACATTATAATGATTTATGCAGAAATCCCATTTCTGAAAACACAGTTAAAATAACATAATACAATTTTCAAGTAGTGAAATGTCTTAATCAAAAAAAAAAAAAAAAGAATGCTGCTTTTCCTGGGAAACTTCACAATGCTTCCAAAACAGCTGGAACTACTTTTTCACTTTTGCATGGATAAAGAAGGTCGACATGAGTAAGTCTGGTGAGCGTGTCTGTGCCTCATTACATGTACTGATTCCCTTTTTTTTTAGTTGACATTCTGGCTCTCGGTGTCAGATTTTTATAATATCTGTTTATCATTAGACATACATGTGATGGGCTACTTCAACAGCTGCTCTAGTTTAAATGTATACGTTATTGGGGTACAATATTATCTTTGATTTTCTTTGTATGATTATATTTTTGTATGTAATGTCTTAGATACCTCAGCATCTTTGACTACAGGGCTCACTCAGTCAGTGTAATTTGTAATAACACTGTAGGAGGACAAGCAGTGCACAATAATGCTTTTTCAGTAAAACCGCTCCACCTTGTGGAAGTTCTACATATACTCTGAGTAATTTACAGAGTGTGATTAAAGGCCATTAGTTTCCTGTTGTTCAGTGCATTACAGTTTGTCTACAGTAGTTTAAAAGAAAGAAACCTACCTTTTGTACTAAACTTTCACAGACCTGTGGTGTGGCAGTACTGGCTTTTTAAAGTTAAAAATGTTGTCTTTAAATTATAGAAATGGTTTTCTATTTAGAATGCTTGACCACAAAACAAAAAGGTTGAGTTATCGATTTTTTAAATAAGTTCTTTTACTCGCAAGATGCCTAATTTTTTTCAGTTTTTGCCAAAGACTGAGCAGTGGTGCCACAGATATCACCTGAGAGAGAGAGAGAAAGAGAGGGATGGGCACACCTCATGCAAAACTTCTGATTATATTTTTTATGTGAAGGAGCTCACTGTGGAGTGAAGCAATGGGGTGTGGGAAGTGCTTGGACTGCTAAAGAAGCCATGCTGTGGCACCAAGTATTCATCTGCATCCACAGCATCCTCCATATCCTCTCCACTGATCAGACTGCGGTAGAATTTCGTATCGGTGGGACTCGGCAGGTGCATGCGGTCATCACCCTGGAACAGAAAAAGAATTTACCTCTTCAGTTTGATGTATCTCATAAGACTCTATTTATCTTTCTGCTCTTAGATTTATTAATGAAGTTATAACATACATCATTGCATTCTTTATAATAAAGGCGGTTGGGCCTCCTTGTCTGACAGATGTCAGAAACATCGGTACATGTTTATTTACAAGGCCATCAGTGGAAAACTGCCCTCTTATATTTCATCCTGTCTGCACTGGTATTATGGACCTTACTCAACTCAATCTTGTAATGATTTGATACAAAGTACCAAAAACCAGAACTGAGTCAGGAAAGACTGCATTTGCTGTCAGTGGAATAATCTGCAACATCAGTTAAAATTAAAGAATGTACAATTCTCTGTAACTTCAAGATAATTCTCAACAATCATATTCTTCCTGCTTTCATTGATACTTTTATTCCGTTTTGTTTTTTATCTCTCTTTCTGTGACTTTTTAATTGTAAACAGGGCATTGCTGTAAATGAGTACATATGCTAAGTGAATCTACCCTGTCTGAATAAATAAAAATAAAAAATGAATACATGAGTCAGTTTTATCAGAAGATGAACTGCAGGTTTAAGGAAATTAGTCAAACCTTGGATAAAATATACCTGAATGACAAGATAACGGGAAGGATCCCGTGCCATCTTTGTAAACTCAGCTATTAGTTCGCGGAAACGTGGTCGGCTGTCCGCATCAATCATCCAGCCTGTACAGACACATCAGCAGATGTTATCTTAATAAGATTAGATTTTAATATTCCTTCTGAGGATACGAGAAGAAAAAACCTGCAACAGCAAATTAGCAGCTTTCAGCTGGAAGCAACATTAGAAAAGTATCATATAAAGACAAAAAAGACAAAAACAGTAAAACAAACAACTGTTTAGTTACCTTTTTTTTGCCTGACCCAAAGCCATAGATATTCAATTTGCTGTAGTGTAAAACAAAGAGAAGCTGGAACTATAGTTGAGGATTAATTTTCTTTTGCCAAATTAATCACTTTATCAACTAATCAATGAAGGTGTGTTTGTGTGTGTGTGTGTGTGTGTGTATATGTGTGTATATATATATATATATATATA